CACACCACGTTGAAGGATATTACTTTTGATCAAACTTATTGATTAAAAGGGGGTAGGTCAACTCTCTTACAAGTTGATCTTGCAAGTCCTATTGTTCGGATCTTGCAGTTGTTGAAGAAGCTTGACCTTCGAAGGAACAACAAAGCCAGCACGAGTGCAGTAGCAACATTGATCTTGTGAAGATATACCGTGCAGAAATTCACACAAGTGTAACTGTTGGTTCATTATTCAACAACCAACTACATAGTGGATTTTGAGGACGTAGAAGGATTACCCCACCTTCGAACCTCGTTAAAGTTTGCGTGTCTCTCTCTCTTATCTTTATTCTTACTTGCAATTATATTAACTGTGAAAACTAACCTATCCATATTAATTACTGTTCACTCCACCCACCAAATTCCGCACACAATCTAAAGTTCACAAGGACTCTAGATTAACACACATTTTCCCGTTTTCAAAAGAAACGAAAAAGATTTTAAACTTGTAACAAAGTCTATTCACCCCCCTCTAGACTTTGTATTTCACCACTTTGGGACCACCAAAGGGGACCCAATTTTTCTCTCACTAAAGTTCACTCTTGAGATAGAGTAAGAAATATAATTCGGACTGAGGAGATTTACCCGGTCTAGGTCATACTTTGTGTTCTTGTTGTGTGTTTTATATTACGGGTCGAGTGTGTCCAGGTCAAACCTGGTTAACCCACCCCGCTATATTTACACCATCATTTTTGGCGCCGACCGTGGGACCGATTTTTAAAGTTTTTTCGACCAGGTCAAAACTTTACCCCCACTAAATATCCACAATCATGTCTTCGAGCAACTACAACGCCGTGTCAAGTCAGGCTGCGAGTGAAAGCACTCCTGCCATCCCATTGATGATGTCGAGCATGAGGACGACCTTTGCTCCGATCGCCACTGTAGGATCGATTCACATGATCCCAATCATGTCAACCCCTACTCCTACGCCGACGATAACAATGTTCCCAGGCTTGATAACAACGCCTGGTGGAGCATTCACACCATACCCGTCAGCTTGGGCTCAGTTTGCTGCTGACCCGGCAAATGCTCAGGCTCTATAGGGCTATCAACAGGTGATGGCCATGATGCAACAGGCAGGTGGCTTCATGCCATTTGCCTATCCCGGTATGACGCCACCAATCATGCCACCTCCGGTGTCGACCCCGTCGACATTTGTCCCTAGGATGGTCCCTATACATCTGGTGAATTTGACGGGGACTATGAATGAAGCAGCGCCCTCAAATGTCCATGAAATCAATGAGGCGGAGCAGGAGGCGGCCCGCAGGAAAAAGGGTAAGGCTATAGCCGAACCCAGCAAGACTCGAGATTCGGCGTTCAAATGCCTAGGGGACAAAGAGGATAGACCCCGCAAGTCTACCAAGCTACGTCTTGGTCCTGAGATGGGCCGGACTAGCGCAATGGAAAGACTTGGCGGGAGTCGTCACGCCCAATCTCGTCGTTCTAGGGAATCTGAGACGATTCACCAAGACGAGGAGGAAGCAGAAAGCCAGCCGAGGGCGTCGACATATACCAGGCTCTCATACGACGAGGATGACCTGGACAAGATAGGGAGTGTAGCAAGGAAATTACGTGCCCTGGAAGAAAAGGTAGAAGAGAAGGCGGGAGCGAAAAAACACACCTTGGCTAAATCTCCCTTTTCGGCCAGGGTACATGCGCAGAGGTTGAGGCGGAAGATTAAGCTGGACGTGGAAAAATTCACAGGAAAGGAGGATCCAAACGTCCACCTTGACACCTTCCACAATGTAGCACAGATGGCCGGGTGCACTGATACTGAGGAATGCTTGCTCTTCTTCTCATCCTTGAGAGGGAGGCCTGTGGAATGGTTTAACGACCTTCCCCATGGCAGGATTGGGTCCTTTGAGAAACTTGCCGAAGTTTTCCGCAAGAAGTACCAGAACAACTGCATTAAGAGGAAGAAGTTCACCTACCTTAACACGGTAGGGTAGAGGGAGAAGGAGTCCTTGGCTCAATTCTTAACCCGCTGGAGGGACGAGGTTGACAAGGTAGAAGAGATGGATGATAAAACGGCCATGTCTTTACTGATGAATGCCTTCCGGTCAGGTGACCTCTACACCGAATTCTGTAGGAGGCCACCCTCCTCTTACCAAGAAGCCTACAATACGGCATGGGAGTATGCCGACGCGGAGGTCTTGAATAAGAGCAAGCGGGAATTAGAGGAAGGATATACGAAGGTGAAATCCGACAAGCCTAAGAAGGACGACCAGATGGGAGGGTCCAAACTAAAGGCTACGTATGACGGGTCTGTCCATCAAATAAGGGAAGAACTGGGCCAGGAGCTTACACGTAGCGGTGGTTTCCCTGGAAACACGACGAAGCACGCAAGGAGGGAACCTATCACTTTCACTGATAGGGATCTTCCTAGGACGGGGGGAGATCATAATGACCCTCTGGTCATTACAATGGATATCAATGGAGCTGATGTGGCCAGGGTCCTGGTTGACACAGGAAGCAGTGTCAATGTTTTATACATAGATGCTTTCAAGAAATTGAATCTTGACAGGTCCATGTTGAGGCCATTGCAAACTCCATTGTCAGGCTTCACTAGAGCTAGCATAGAAGCGGAAGGTCAGATAACCTTACCGGTTACCTTGGGGTTAGGTAACAAGACAGTGACCAAACAAATGAGATTTGTTGTGGTCGACATCAAATGTGTGCATAATGCGATTCTGGGTAGGCCTGGAATCAACCAGGTCAGGGCTTTTATTTCCATGGCACATTTATGCATGAAGTTTTTACACTCCCAATGGAATCGGGGAGGAAAGGGGTGATCAAAAGAACGCCCGGTCCTGCTACCTGGAAGCAGTCAGGAAGATGACCCACCAGTTCGAACAAATTGAACTGGTCTCCCAGCAGGTAGACAAGGGTGAGGAGAAGGCTAGGATCGAGCCAGATGCAAACACGGAAGAGATCCAGATTGATGCCTCCAATCCTGAAAGGAAGGTCAAAATTGGGGTTGATCTTCAGGAAGAGCTAAGGACTGAGATTGTCCAAGTGCTGACCAGGTATAAATCATTATTTGCCTAGAGTGTTGCTGATATGCCCGGGATTGACCGGTCAGTCATTTGCCATCGTCTCTCTGTTCTTGAGGGGTCTAGGCCTGTAAGACAGAAGAAGAGATTTTTGGCAAGCGATAGGAGGGACTTTGTGAAGAAAGAGGTCAAGGACCTACTTGAAGTAGGTCATATCAGGGAAGTAAACTACCCTGAGTGGCTGGCCAATGTTGTTCTGGCCCCGAAGGGTGATACTTGGAGGATGTGCGTGGACTACACAGACCTCAACAAGGCATGCCCGATGGACTCTTACCCTCTACCCAGCCCGGATCAAATGGTGGATGAAACTGCCGGGTGTGAGTTGCTCAGCTTTATGGATGCCTTCAAAGGGTATCATCAAATTTTCATGGCAGAGGATGATGAGGAGAAGACGGCCTTCCTCACTCCGGACGGCACATACTGTTACAAGGTGATGGCCTTTGGGTTGAAAAACTCAGGGGCAACTTATCAGAGAATGGTCAACAAATTATTCAGGCCTTTGCTTGGACGGACCATGGAAGCCTATGTCGATGATATGCTAGTGAAGAGCAGGGCAGCTAGCACACACGCTCAAGACCTGGAAAAACGTTTTGAGATTATGGCTAGGCATAATCTCAGACTTAATCCAAAGAAGTGTGTTTTTGCTGTGAGGACGGGGAAGTTCCTAGGCTTCATGGTCACGAAGAGGGGGATTGAGCCAAATCCTGAGAAGATTAAGGCCATTATTGAGATGCAACCCCCGACATCGGTAAGGGATGTCCAAAGGTTAACGGGGCGCTTGGCGGCCTTAAACCGAATCTTATCCAGGTCGGCAGAGAAGGCCTTACCTTTCTTTAAAGTATTAAAGAAAGCCAACACCTTCCAGTGGGATGATGAATGCGCCAGGGCATTCGAAGAGCTGAAGACATATCTGACTTCGGAAATTGTCTTGTCTAAGCCAAAAACAAAGGAGACCCTCTACCTCTACTTAGGGGTTACTCAAATGGCTGTTAGCTCGGTCTTGATGAGGGATGATGGGGTCCAGAGGCCCATCTATTATGTAAGCAAGGCCTTAAATGGGGCAGAAAGCAGGTACACTCCTACGGAGAAGGCAGGGTACACACTTTTTATAACAGCGAAGAAACTCACGTCGTACTTCCAAGCCCATCCCATTGTCGTATTGACCGACCAACCATTGGGCACGGTTATGAGGGACTCCACTTCATCGGGAAGGATGATCAAATGGGCCATGATGCTTACCCAATTCAACATTGAATATCGTTCGAGGACGGCGATAAAGGGACAGGCTGTGGCCAACTTTCTTGTGGAGATGACGGGTCACCAGGAGGAGGAACCGGAAGGACGATCACAGAGCCTTGGTGGTCCATGTCAGTAGATGGAGCCGCTAGACCAAAAGGTTACGGTGGAGGCGTAGTATTCACAACTCTAGAAGAGTTCAAATTATATCATGCCTTGATCTTTAATTTCAAGCTCACAAACAATGAAGCGGAGTATGAAGCATTGATAGGGGGTCTAAGACTGGCCAAAACCCTACAAATCACATGCCTCAGAATCAAATCCGATTCAAGCTTGGTGGTAGGCCACATCAATGGCAACATGGAGGCCAAGGGAGAGAAGATGCAAAAATACAGGGGCTTGGCAAAGGCACTATTGAAGGACTTGGCTGAATATGTGATGGAACAAATCCCTAGGGGGGAGAACACCGATGCTGACTTACTATCAAAATTGACGCAAGCAGCCCCGGAACATGTCTCAAAATTGGCTAGGATTGAGATGCTAGAGAAGGCTAGCATTGAAGGGCTTTCTGTTAGCCTGATTGAGGAAGATGGACGGCCCAATCTAGGCATGGTGGAACCTGATGATATTTGGATAGATGACTTGGTCAAGTATTACATGACCGGGCAATTCCCTGAGGATGAGGATAGGGTGAGAAAAGTAAAGTTGAGGGCTCCAAGATTCCAAATGCTAGATAGAAGGCTATACAAAAGGGCATTTGGTGGTCCGCTGCTGAGATGCTTGATCAGGGCGGAGGCGGAAAGAGTGATCGCCGAAGTTCATGAGGGTGTGTGTGCAGCCCATCAAATGTCCAGGACACTCGCACAAAGGATCATCTTGCTAGGTTACTTTTGGCCTACAATGAATCAAGATTGTGAAAAATATGTGGAGAGGTGCAAGACTTGCCAGGTGTTCTACAAGTTTCCGGGAAGGCCTGCAACCTACTACCATCCAGTTTCCAATGTTATTCCATTTGCAAGGTTTGGGATGGACATCATTGGAGCCTTCCCTCAAGCTCAAGGGAGGAAGAAGTACGTAATGGTTGCTATCGACTATTTCACAAAGTGGGTAGAGGCCGAGGCATATGCAACCATCACAACCAAGCAGTGCCAGCGCTTTGTCTGGAAGAACATCATCACTCGGTTCGGGTCACCCCGAAACATTGTGACGGATAACGGGCCTCAATTTCGGAATCCAGGGTTCACCAAATACTTGGAGGACTTCGGGAATACTCACAACAAGGCTTCCGTGGCCTACCCGCAAGGAAATGGCCAGGTGGAAAATGCGAACCGCACAATAGTCGATGGGATCAAAAAGCGGTTGGGTGAGGCAGGAACGAATTGGTTAGAGGAGTTGCCACATATCATCTGGGCTTACCGGGTCACTTCAAGAAGGGCCACAGGGGAGACACCCTTCGTCCTTACATATGGGTGTGAGGCCAGACTACCCATCGAAGCTAAAATAATGAGCTTTCGGGAGAAGGTCTATGAAGAGAAAGGGAATGAGGAAGACCATTTGGCAGAGCTAAACTTGCTGGAAGAGAAGCGGATGGTCGCTGAGGCTAAAATGATGGAATACCAGCAAGCAGCTAAGGCCTACCATGATAACAAGGTAGGGCCTCGTTATTTCCAAATGGGTAACGAGGTCCTGAGACGAAGGGAGGCCAGCAAACCCGGAGAAGAGGGAAAACTTGCAAAGAAATGGGAAGGCCCATATAGGGTCACAACAATATTACGCCCTGGGACATACAAGTTAGAAACAATGGAAGGTCGAGAGTTGGAAAGGTGCTGGAATTCCCACCACCTTAGAAAATTCTACCGATAGACCAAATTAGCAGGGCATGTATTTATAATACCCCTTCGATGATAAATAAGAGATTTCTTCAATACTTGTGTTGCTGGGTAGTAATACTAAAGTAATGTCTTGATGTAAGAGGCAAGGTAAAAAAAAAAAGATAAACCCTTGAGATAGGGGCCTTGATGTTGAGGTATGCCCTTGAGATAGGCTGGGTCTGGAAGAGGACTCGCGTCCATACTTACATGGATCCCTACCAGATTTTCATTTGGATAGGGGCAAAAAGATGCCAAAGTAAAAAATGATTACCGTCTTGCATGAGCCATCCTTTGCGGATTGAAGGGTCTAGGGAAGACTAGAATTCACTTCAAACGCATAACATATGGACATGTAAGATTGGATGAGGGCTGGTTCTCACCGGCATACCCCCACGTGGGAAGATTGGGTTGGCTAGGTCAACCTAATGATTAGAGAANNNNTTTGGATAGGGGCAAAAAGATGCCAAAGTAAAAAATGATTACCGTCTTGCATGAGCCATCCTTTGCGGATTGAAGGGTCTAGGGAAGACTAGAATTCACTTCAAACGCATAACATATGGACATGTAAGATTGGATGAGGGCTGGTTCTCACCGGCATACCCCCACGTGGGAAGATTGGGTTGGCTAGGTCAACCTAATGATTAGAGAAAGGCACATTAAAAAACTTAAAACCTGGAAGAGGGGCCCTGGAAGAAGGGTGTTGCCCGGAAGAGGGCTGAACCTTAGAGAGGGTTCACGATCATAGGACATGGTCGAAATCTCCGAAAAAAGTTCGGGTCTTGATGTTGAGACTTGATGATTCCAAAACCGATTCGGATTATTCGTTCGAAATTTGAGCAAGGTTACTGTTAGGCATGACATCCAGGCTAAAGGGGTAAAGGAAAGTGGCATGGTCAAAAGTGACCGGTCACTTTTTGATATTTTGGATTGGCAAGAAAATGCGAATGGGAAAAAATTAAAATTTGACCGGTCAACTTTGAGAAAAGTGACCGGTCACTTTTTAGCCGGCGGATTTGATGAAATCAGACAAATCTGGAAAAAATATTTTTTGACCGGTCACATTTTTGACCCGGCACCTGGACAGGAAATATGACGTCATGCTGATTACATATTGCAACCAAGCCATTAGAAGTTGGTCGGGAAGAATTCAACCTAGACGTGTACATTCTAACCTGGAAGTTGACTCGGTCAGAAGACAAGCGGGGAAGAAACCGACCTAGACGTTTTCAAGTCAAGAAACCAGGACATGAGATGACCTGGAAGTTTTCAAGCCTTTGCGTCTAAAGTGGTCTTCAAAACTTCCAACCTAGCCTACTACACCAGGACATGAGATGACCTGGACGTTTGTTGCAGTTCAACCTAGACATAAGCCGGTCCAGAAGACTAGTCAGGCATGAGGTGCTCTGGACGTTTCATGGGGTGTAGAAATAAAGGTTTAAACCTGGACGTTTACAAGGGTTGCTAAACCTGGACACCTTCGAAACCCACCTAACCAAGACATTAGATGACCCTGACATTCCTAAAGGATAAAGCCGATTACTTCTTTTGACTTGGAATCAAGTATATTCAAGAAAATTGTCAACCAAGCCAATGAGGCCTGGACGTTTTCAGGACCAGGACATGAGATGGCCTGGGCGTTTTTTAAAACGATTCCTAGGGTATAAGGCCGGTTAGTTTTATTGACTTGGAAGTTCATTCAAAGGCGATCAAGAAAAGGAAAAGAAAAGCAATAACCATGCATAGAAAAGGAGTTCAACCATGCAAACTGAAAGAAGAAACATGCCGGTAAATTGAAAAGCATGCCAAACAAAAGATAATATTACACAAGTCAGTAGTAGGCCGGACATCCCCCAGGCCTTGGGAAAATTTAAAGTTTTTGAATTCAAACCCTAACCTACTCTAGGGGAAAGGGGGGGAGCTGGCTCTTCCTTGTACAGAGCCGGGAGCTTCATCTTGGCCGGGTCAAAGGAAGGGTCCCTCTTCAGAAGCCTAGCATAAAGGAGGGACCTCTCATCCTTCTGGCCGCACTGGAAGCCGTACGAGCCAATCTCGGTGATCATCCTCTTGTCTTCCGGCTCTTGATACATGGTCTTGAAAAAGTCCATGGTTTCTTCCGGTGTGGTGAGAATTGACCGGGCAATTTCCAAGTGATGGCATGCAGCCCAGTGAGCAGCTTCAGTGGGAAAGGCTTCCTCCTTTGCCCGGGCAGATTCTTCAGCCTGGCCCAGCACATCCTCGAGCTCGGCAACCTTTCTCTTCCTTTCCTCCTCCAAAAGGGCAAACCGGGCCCTTTCTTCCTTCAACTCTTCCTCAAGTCTCCTCTCCCTTTCTGCCCGGTTATTGATCTCTAACTTAGCAGAATCAAGGAGGAGGGTGAGTTGGGAGACCTGGTCCTTCTCCTTTAATGTTTGGCCAATCTCCTCTGAAATGACCCCGGCCTGTAAAAATAAAAAAAAAAGGAGAGGAGGCATATCAATAAAAGTGAAGGAAAAACGTGAACCGGGAAGAAAACTGCAGATGAAATACCTTGCTGAGTTTTTTGGCCAGGGATAGGAAGGCTTCTTCGATGGATTCCCCCTCCTGTCTGATAAATTAATCTTCCTCTTCTTGCCTCCCCTGGAACTCTTATGAGAGCTCTTCCTTTTTTGGTCCTTGGCTTTTAAAGAGGAAGATGCACCGACCTCTTTAGCCCTAATTGTTATTTTTAAACAAAATCATTTATATAACTAGATTTGTTAGCCCAAGACCAATTTCTTTTGTCCCATCCATGGCCATTGAATCCTCGAGGTCGAGGCTGACTCTATTAACAATCAAGAGATTTTATATATTCTCGAATTGTGTAATGTAGTTTAGGAGGGAGGGTAGGCGGTAGTCTATGGACAAACAAGAAATGTTGCAAAAAATTAGCTAATGTCGTGTGGGGATATGCCTATCCGTCATTTTCCAATGTAGGACTTAAATTTTTTATTCATTAAATAGGACTTAATAATAACTAGTGAGAAGAATAATGTACAAGTGATGCTGGATATTTAGTTGAATAATAATTAATAGATAATGACTAATGGTCCTACATTGAGAAATAAAAATATATAATCCTATTTTGAGAAAGTTATTATGTTTTTGTCTTATTTAGGTAAATTACCATTTTTAATATTCATATTAGTTCTAAGGTGGTTTACTTTTTATGTGAAGTATCATTATTTTACATGTATCTTTCTACTTTTTATACCGAGGATTAATTGAAAGTATACAATAATGTTGTGGAACGAAAAAAATGACTTAGTGCTGGTATGATCGCACGCAGTGACGTTTTGATTTTGCTACAACTTTTTGAAAAGCATGCATTTTGATATAAAATGTATTGCGCTAAAAACGGCATTGTGTGGATTTGAAAGTCAAGACTTGTTTTAAAGTGATTTTATCAAATGTTTTGAGGAATTACTTTTGCACAACTCGTGCAAGGACTTCCTCTTTAACTAAAAACAATTGACATATAATTTCAAGAGAATTATTTTTGAGTTTTTTTCCCTCTATATTTTGGGAGAAAAATGTATTTGAAGCTAGTATTGAATACAAAGAAACTGTTTGAGAAATTATTTTTACTATGATTAGTTGTATTGAAATAAAGATGAGTATCACTTGCATATATTGAAGGGTGAAGCCCTACCTATCAGCTTAAGCTTTTGGGTTAGAATTGTGGATCCCGACTTTATATGCAAGTGGTTAATTTCACCCGACACTCTATCCGTTGTTATCGGCCCGCCGGAATTTTAACATGGTATCAGAGCCAGTTTTAGCCTATCTCGTTTGTCAAGGTGTCCGTCTAGACGTTCATTCCTAGCGGCCCGTTAGTCTTTAGCCCAGTTGTCCGTATGGAGGTTGTACCCAACGGCCTGTGGCCTGTTTAACATGATTGCTCGTCTGGAAGTCCATACCCAGCGGCTCGTGGTCATTTAGGTGTTGGCGCTCAAAAAAAAAAAGTCAAGGGAATGGGAGTTCATTTGCAAGTGGTCAACCGGTTAGATTCAAAATGGCCCGGTTGTCCACTTGAGGGGGAGTGTAAGAGTACATTCCACATCGGAAATCTAAGAGTAAAATAATCGGTATATAAGCTCTAGAGTTGAACTAACTAATCGATTGGATTCAATCTTTTAAAGTGGTTCAACCAAAGTGTCTTATTACCGAATCCAGTTATCCATATCCCATCCTAAATTTTATCAATGTTTGTAAACAAAATATTTAAAAATCAAGTTGATTTGAGAAAAAAACAAATCACCCTAGACAAGAGTAATACAATATGAAAGTTCAAAAATGAAAGGTGCAATTGATCAAAAATCTGTGATCACAAATTAAATATATTTTTGAATTAATAAATATTGTATTGCTCCCTATAAAAAAATTGATTTATCAAAACTATATTTTAAAATTAAATTTACTTATATTTAATTTACATTACAATTAAATATCTTTTTATTAGTGTGATTTATAATATTCTCATTTATTTTTCTATACACTAGGGTGATAGTGTAAACCATACAATTTCCTGTTTTTTAATATTCATATTAATTCTAATGTGGTTTATTTTTTATGTCAAGTATCATTATTTTACATGTATCTTTCTATTTTTTACACCGAGGATTGATAGTATACAATAATATTGTCGAACCAAAAAATTGACTTACCCTTTAGTACTGGTATGATCACACTCAATGACGTTTTAGTTTTGCTACAACTTTTTGAAAAGCGTGCATTTTGATATAAAATGTTTTGTGCTAAAAACGGCTTTTTGTGGATTTGAAAGTCAAGACTTGTTCTAAAGTGAATTTATCTAATGTTTTGAAAAATTACTTTTGCACAACTCGTGCAGGGACTTCCTCTTTAACTAAAAACTAATGACACATAATTTCAAGAGAATTACTTTTGGATTTTGTTTTCCTCTGCAGTTTTGGGAATAAAATATGAGGATTTTACATATATAGTACTAAAACATAATGACTTTCTCTAAATAGCACCATATGTCTTTTTCTTCCCAATATAGCATTTTTAGTCATTATGCATTAGTCATTATTCAGGCAAATATTCCCCATCACAGGACATTATGGACATTATTAAGTGCTATTTAAAGAATAAAATAATTTAAGTGCTATTTAGGAAAATGACTTAAGTTTTAGTGTTATTTAGTGCAAATATTTCATAAAATATATTGAAGTAGTATTGAATACAAAGAAACTGTTTGGTGATAACAAAAGATATGTGTTTCAATATCTCTGATATCAAATTCCTAATTTTATATATATATATATATATATATATATATATATATATATATATATATGCTTATTTAAGTAGTAAAGAAATAGTTATCTTGTGTATAAATTATTTTGAGACTTAATCTATGAAAATTTTGAAAAGTATTTGTCAAACTTTGGCAAAAGTATTTTTAAAAGTATTTGGAGCAAAAAGAATCGGGTGTTTAAAAAAATGGTCAAATTAAATTATAATTACATATTATTGTGGATATTATTCTTGTACCTTGAATGATTTAGGGTCATAAAGCGTACATTTATGTCCTAATATAAATCATTCAAAATGGAAGAGGTATAAGTAATTTGATTAGAAAATTTGCAGTGGCAAGAGCTTCGACCCAAAATATAGTCGAGAGACTGGAAGTATGGAGAAGTTTGATGACTGTTTCGATGAGATGGTGATGTTTTCGCTCAGCCACACCATTTTGTTTAGGGGTATAAATACATGTTTTTTGATGAAGAATTCCCAATTTTTGGAGAAAAAGACCAAACTTGTTATTCACATATTCTTTTCCATTATCTGTGTGAAAAAGTTTTATACTGGTCTCAAATTGATTCCTTACCATGGACTGAAAACTTTGGAAAGCCTCAAATGCATCAGATTTTTGTTTAAGGGGGAAAGCCATGAAAATTTGGTAAAGTCATCAATAAAAGAGAAAAAAATGATAGCCACCAAAAGAAGGTATTGAGGTGGGACCCCGTACATCGGAATGAACTAACTGAAATGGAAAAGTAGCGGTGTCACATAAAGTAAGTTATTTGTAACTTCTAAAGAGGGATGTCATAGCTGATGGTGCCAATCTTGTGAGCTTAGAGTGGCCGCACGAACAAAAGGAGCGATGGGGATGGACACACAAACGTAGGAGGATGCTTGATAATTGGAAGGTCACAGATAAAGTCCATGCTCACAGTGGCCTCTATGTCTCACCTTGTAGGTTTTGTTGATCAGGATCTGAAATTCAGTTGGAGTAAAAAGTCATTGTCTTTTGTGAATCGATATGATGGATGGATAAAAGATGAGATTTAAGGGAGAGAACATGCAATAGGTTACTAAGGCGAAAGATTCCGGAGGAAATGGGTATTTTACCTGAGCCAATGTGAGTAAAGGGTAGAGATTGACCACCTGCACTAGTGACAGTATTAGTGCTAAAGTATGACGAGAAAGAGTAGAGGCGTGACAGATCAGGAGTGATTACAATGGATTAGTGCTAAAGTATGACACCCCAACTCGCATAACTCGATTACAATGGATTAGTGGGTCGATTTGCTTCTAAATTAGTTTCCACAAAAAGTATTTTAGAAATAATAATTTAAAAAGCATATTACAAACAACATAATCGAAAATATTTTTCAAAACATTATCGGAGATTTCATAATAGTGAGGAATCTTATGTAAACAAATATCATTATTTGATCATTACCAAAATCCATTCGTTCAAAATTCTATATGACTGATCAATAGTTTGAGCCCACATCCGTACATCTCATCCGTCTTGCTCCTTCTCGAGGAACATTCCCTCTTTAACATAAATCATACATGCGTGTAGCAAATAAAACATAGTACACGCTCAGCGGTAAAGCTGAGTAAGGATATCTAATGCATCGAACATCCACATACATTGAATCTCAATTTATAACGAAATCGAATGGTATCATGCAAGCAAGAGGCAGTTTCAATCATTCATCGTTACACATTTATTATTTGTTTAACCATTCGTTATCATTTCATCAAGACACAACAGTTTTATTCATTTATTTGATATCATAATCAACATATCACTTTCAGATTAGCAACAAAGATTCTTAATCCGTCATAGGTTAAGACATTTCAATATTCAACATTCATTAAATATCATTTACGATATTATCCACAATATTCTGAAATTATTTCTAGTTTAAGGCCAAATTAATAATAAGACTCTTAGATTATTCTTATTCTAAGGTAAAATGAATAACCAGACTCCTAGACAAATCTAGTCTAAGGCAAAATGAATAACCACTCTTAGACTCATCTAGTCCAAGGCAAGTTAATATTGATATTAAAACTCTTAAACTGTAATCAGTTTAAGGCAAATTTATGTTTAAAACTAGACTCTTAAACTATAATTAGTTTAAGATAAAATGATAACGAGACTGTTAAATTATAAATAGTTTAAGGTAGAAAGTCAAACAATGGACTACTCATTGTCGGGTTGGGTGGTATACCCAAACGAATAGATACTGAAGTTTGGTGTATAGATCCCAAACATACGTTTCAACCCGAGCCCATGGGCATCATACCTGCAAGGCCTAACTAGATTGGTCATATGTGGTCTATCTTAGATTTCTTCTAAATAGTCCAAATAATTTATCCATCAATATCATCATCATTAAATTGTTCAGAGAACATAATCATCCACGTTTTTGTCATACAAACGTATGGTTATATTTTGAACAATCTTAATCCCTATTTATCATGTAGTCCATTTTATTCATGTTAACAATGTATCAGTAATTAATCAAGGTAAAGTCATCATCAACATCATTTCATTATGGTATAATCATCATTATTATTACGGCGTTCAATAATCATCAATACACAATACCTTACCAATTTCTAGGATTGAGTAATGTATCATATTTGGCTTAAATACGGCAACCTTTCAGCATATAATATTTTCCAATATATAGTTGATTAAAACTTTCAATCTTAATTATAACAATTGCACTAAAAAAACATGTTCAGGACAACCATTCCCACATTAACTGTTAGCATATGTATATATTTTGTACATTATATTCATTGACGGGGCTCTTCGTTTGTATCACCCGGGCTCCTCGATTGGGGGGAAACATCTTTAATATCAGACAAATGTGATAAAAGTCCAGTCATATGATGAGAGGCACCGCTATCAAGCAACCAGTCACAAGTGTAAGATCCAGTTGCTTCGTATGCTGAGAAAATAGCCATTGGGAACCAAAATTTGTTGAACGGTTGGGAATTGAGGTTGGCCCACTCTGGCCCACTACTGAACTTTGCACCAGTGGGATTTGTATTCAAGTGCGGAGTATTTGGAAAAGTTGGAATACCCCCCCCCCCCTTTTTTTTGGCCGACTAGAACTGGACGGACGAACTCGAAATCTGACGGCGAATATGGACGGACGAACTTGACGGCGACGTGAACTTGTAAGAGTAATAGTGAGATACATCAAACGACCCACAAGTCGGCGGTACCGCCCTGGGTCATGGAGGACTGCCGCGGTCGACGTGCCCAGTTTGTGCGTCGTGGGTAACGGCGTGTCAGCCGGCTTACATCCCAACAGACCGGCTTCCTGTAAAATCTCCAGTGCATACTTTCGTTGACACAAAACCATACCTGATGCAGAACGGGCACATTCAATCCCCAAAATATATTTGACCGGACCCAAATCTTTGAGTTGGAAACACCTGTCCAAATATTGTTTAAAAGAGGTGCATAAAGAGGGATTATTGCCTGCAACCAAAATATCATCAACATATACTAGGACCGTAAGGATATCGGGGCCCTTATGAAGAATAAACAGAGTATGATCCTTATGAGCCTGTTTAAACCCCCACTGACGAAGAGCAGTGCTAAGTTTATGGAACCAATTACGTGGAGATTGACGAAGCCCATACAAAGATTTCCGAAGATGGCAAACTTTGCCGGGGATAGAAAAACCAGGAGGCATTCGCATATACACCTCATCGACCAAATCACCATTTAAAAATGCATTATAAACATCCAACTAATGAATCTCCCAACCGCGTGCAACAG